GCAGAGCCCCGTCAGGACCCTGCAGCTGCTGCAGCTCCAGCCTGGCCACGGCCTCCTGGGCCAGCACCACCTGCACAGGTGAGAGCCCTGACACTCAGGGCTGTGGGGAAAATCCAGGGGGGACTGTGGGATTGGCAGGGAGCGGCTCCTGGGAGGGGTTCTTGTGTTAATTACACTCATTTTTGTGTTATTTACGCTCATTTTTGGTGTTATATACACTCATTTTGGTGGCTGAAAACCACCTCTGCCAAGGAATGGATTTGGGTTTTTCCTACCTGCACAGGTGACTGTCCAGGCAGTCAGATTTTTAGGGAAAAGCCAGATGGGACAGGCTGGAGTGTGGGAATATCAGGGAGCTGCTCCTGGGAGGGGTTCTTGTGTTATTTACACTCATTTTTTGGGTTATTTACACTCATTTTGGTGGCTAAAAACCACCTTGGGTAAGAAATTGGTTTGGGTTTTTTAGTCTCTGCCTGCACAGGTGAGAGTCCAGGCAATCAGGTTTGTAGGGAAAATCTGGGGGGAACAGGCTGGAGTGTGGGATTGTCAGGGAGCAGCTCCTGGGAGGGGGTTTTGTGTCATTTTCACTCATTTTTTGGGTTATTTGCACTCATGGGTAAAATCCACCTCTGTCAAGGAGTTGAGTTTTATTTTCCTGTCTGCACAGGTGAGAGCCCAATGTTAAAACCACCTGAAATTTGATTTAAGCACTTTTTTTTGTTGTGTTTTGCTTTTTTTTAAGGGAACCAGAGTTCTGGGACGTTAAAAACCACCTGAAATTTGATTTAAATGCTATTTTTTGGGTTTTTTTAGGGGACTGGAGTTCTGGGAGGTGAAGGTGAAGAGCAAATCCTTCCTGTACCGACAGGTACTGCCTGCAGCTGCTGCCAACCCAAATTTAAATTTATTAATTAACTTTAATTAATTCATCTAAAAATCGATTCTTTTAGCAATGTTCCATCTGTGTCGCACTCACAAGGACTTGGGCTCTTTATTTGATCCCAAAATCTCCTAAATTTGTGCCCAAAACCTTCACAAAATCAGATGGCAGGATGGAAAAAAATGTGTTTTTCACAATCTTGGCCCTTTTTAAAAATTCTTTTTAATTTTTTTCCATGCTCAGTGGATTTGAGCCTAGTAAAAGCTGTCTGGAATTTCACTTCCTGGCTTTTTTTGGGGAAAAAAAAATTTAAAAAGTGTTTTTTTGCTTTACAAACTGCAGAAATTCTCCCTCTGCCCTGAAGCTCCCCTGGATTTTTTGGAAATAACTCCAAAATAATAATAATAACAATTATTAATACATAGTTATATATTATAATTATCTTAATATTTTAGCATTTAATATGTTAATATTTTAACCATTTAGGAAGCTGAATGTGGATATTTTTAAATGTGGAGGCACCAAACCTACAGACATGGGTGCCAATAATCTGATTTTTAACCTGATAGGTGCCAATAATTTGATTTTTAATCTGATGGGTGCCAATAATCTGATTTTCAGTCTGATTTTTCCTGAATTGTGGAGGCAGCAAAGTCGTGGCATGCAATGACCTCTAGCGAGGGAGGATGAAATAATAGAGGGGAGGATTTGAGCTGCTTGGAGAGAAATTCTGGGCACTCTAAGGTCCCAAAATTTCCCTCTGGATAAAACCACCTTGGATTGTTGGATATTTTTGAAGTGCTGATCATGAACAGGTTGCTCAGGGGACTTTCGTTTATTTATTTTTTAATTAATGGGTCACAAACTCAGCCCAGGGATTTGTTCCAGCACTTCAGGGAGGGTTTGGGAGAGTTTGGAAAGGTCAAAAATGGAATTTTTGTTAAATCCAAATCAGGGATTGAGGTGGGGGTGGAAAATTGGGGAGGGGGGATTGGGGATGAAAAATTGGGGGTGGAGAATCTGGGATGAGGACTGGGGAGGGGGAATTGAAATGGAGAATTGGGGATGGAAAATTGGAAATTATTTGGGGATGGAGATTTGGAGGTGAGGGACAGAGAATTGGGGATGGGGAATTTAGGATGAGAAACTGGGGATGGAGAATTGAAATGAGAATGGGGGCTCGAGAATTGGAGGTGGATGAGCTGCTGGGACTGGCACTGAGCCAGGCTGGTTCTTGTCAGGTTGAACGCAGCACTGTCCCCTCTCTGCGGCAGGTGAGGAGGATGGTGGGAGCCCTGGTGGTCACCTGAAGATGCTCCTGCCCGTGGCAGGCTGAGAATGTCACCAAGAGGGGAAAAGCAGCTTCTCTTGCAGATGTTGGGGTGGCCGTGGCTGCCGGGGTGGGACAAAAGCGCTCCCTGGATGAGCCCGAGGGCGCAGCAGGGGCCGCCGGGCTGGGTTGGTGACTCCAGGCGGGGGCTGTCAGGCCGAACGCAGCGCTGTCCCCTCTCTGCCGCAGGTGAGGAGGATGGTGGGGGCCCTGGTGGCCGTGGGCCAGGGCAGGATGGCCCCGGGGCAGCTGCAGCAGCTGCTGGAGCTCAGGGACCCCCGGGCGCTGCCCCCGCACGCCACGGCCCCGCCCGAGGGGCTCTTCCTGCACAGCGTGGAGTACAGCCAGGCAGGTGGGCAGCGCTAACTCATCACTAACAACTCATTGTTAGAGTGGGAATTGTCTATAAGTATTGATACATATTAATAAATAATATACATAGTAATTATGATAGAATAATATCTTAATGTATCATGCTATATTGTGATGTATAATTATATAATTATTTATAATACTATATAATTAATATATAACCAATATATTCTTTATACTATATATTTTATATCTTGTAATAGATTAATATATATAATTCACCCCTAAATCACTATTTCCTTTTCCCCTAAATCAATGTTTTCTTTTCCCCTAAATCAGTATTTGTTTTTCCCTAAATCAATGTTTTTTCTGCTCTCTCCTGTCAGATTTGGCCCTTCCATGTGCCCCAGCAGAAGAGGAGCTCTGTGGGCTCAGCTGAAAGGAATTTATAACATAAATTATAAATTAAATTAAACAATTATAAAAATTGTAACATCTGTATTGTCTCACCCTTCACATAAAAGTTTTTAAAACACCTCTCAGTTACCCCATTCCTAAATTGTAAAAATTCATATTCCAACACCTCTGCTTCCAGTGGGGAGGGCTGGGGGGATGAAACAGATCCCAGGTGCTTCCTGGAGCTTTTTTTTCTGATTGTTTTTCTGGGGGTTTTTTTTCAGGTTATTTTTTGTAATTTTTTTTCCTGGGTTTTTTTTTCTGATTTCTTTCTGGTTTTTTTTCCCCGAAATTCATCCAGGTATTTGTCCTTAATTGGCCACCTCATTAATTATTATTAAAAACCGCAGGTTGGCTTCTGGCCTCTCCCTCTCTGTTTTGCTCAGATTTTTAAACCTTGCTGAAAAAATTCAGCTGCAACTTTTGTAAACTCTGGAAAATTCCAATTCCTGGCACTGCGAGAGCCTCAGCCCCTAAGAATCCTTTACCTTGAGCAGAAATTCTTTTTTTTATCCCATTTTTTCCAGTGGGAAATCCTCCCAGCACTGGAGGGGAACTCCTTTTATCACAATCTTATTGAAAAATGTAAAAAAATTGGATTAGATGCTCCTTGCAGCAGAGCCTGAGGGAAGGAGGAGGAATTAAAGATGTTTTGCTGCTTGGTTTTCAGCACATTTAGGGTTTTTTACTTTCTGTGATGCTTTTATACTTTGAATTTTAATTTAAGCAGGGGATTTTCAGCTATGGGAGGGGAGAACACTGAGTAACTTCTACTTTAATGTGTAAATTGCTCCTCAGGTATATTTAAAAACAAATTCTTGACTCCCTGGCTGTTTTTTTCCAAGGGGGAAAATCCCAGTGCTGGTGTCACTGCAGGAATTGAACAAACACTGAAATTCTTTTATTAAAATCAAACAGAAAAAAGCATTGAAAATGTAAACGAAATAAAATCTGGGCTCAGCTCTCAGGGGGCGCTCTGGGGCAGCCCCTTCTTCAGCAGGGATGTCAGGTAACTGCCCAGCTCTTCATCCTAAAACAGAAAAAATAAACAGCATGAGAGCAAAATCCTCCTTGGATTGTCCCACCTGGGGCAGTAAATTCAATTTTGGTGCCCAGGAATGGACTGAGAGAATTCCTGGACCTTGCAGGATCTAATGTGAGCTGTGTTTAAAAAGTGAAATAATACACAAATTCATTTCTGGCTGTTTTTACAAACTATTGCTGTGAAATTCCATTTCTCCAAGGATCTGAGGGGTTTTTTTTGAGGAAAAGCCTCATTTTTTGCTGGAAATCTAGGAATAAATTGCTTTATTGCTTTGCCTTCCAAAGGCATTTCCTGCTGTCAAGAAAGAGTTTAATAATCCAGGAAATTTAATAATGCAGAAAGTTTAATAATCCAGAAAATTTGATAATGCAGAAAATGTAATAATCCAGAAAGTTCAATGATCCAGAAAAATCCAAAAATACAGAAAATTTAATAGTCCAGAAAGTTCAATTTAATAATTTAATAATCCAGATTATTAATAGATATTAATAACCCACAAAATTCAATAATCCAGAAAATTTAACAATCCAGCCACAGAAAGGGAAGGTGATGGGATGACTCAAATAAAAGAATGTTTAAATCAGAAATAGTTCTCTATTTGTTTGAAATTTTCTAAGTTAGAAATACAAAATGAAATACTTAATTCAGAACTGAATTAATTGGAATTAGCCCAGAAGTTCTCCGCTTTACAGAGCTGTAAAATCATTTCTGCTCAGAAAACACCAGGGACTGCCCCTCGTCTTCCAAATTCCTTCAAAGCCAGAGGAGGCAGGGCTGGGATGGAGGGATTTGGGTGAGAAATGAGGAATTCCCACCTGGTAGGTCCAGGAGACCAGCAGGACTTTGGTTCCCTGGTCCTCAGAGTGAGCCGTGGCCTGGATCAGGATGGACTCCACAGTGATGGAGCCATCAGGGAGGTGCTGCACTGAGTAATCCTTCAGAACCCTGCAGAGAAAGGAGAAATTTGGGGTTTATTTGGGAAATAAATGCTGGGTTTTCATCCCAAATCCTAGTTCTGAGCCCAAGAAGGGAAAAGGAGCTGATCCACTGCTCATTTTGGTGATTTTTCTTTTTGTACTATTGCATTTGTATTTTTTTTTTTCCATTTCCCTAAGAACTGTTATTCCTGCTCCCATATTTTTGCCTAAGAGCCCCTTAATTTCAAAATTACAACAACTCAAAGGAAGTGGGTTTACATTTTCCATTTCAGGGGAGGCTCCTGCCTTCTTTAAGCAGAACCTCTTTCCAAACCAAGACAATTCTCGTGAGCAGTGGCTGGAGAGATCTTCCACTTCTTACAAGTTTTGCTTTGGTTTGTTCCACTTCCTTTAACTTTTCCAACCCCATGCTTGAAAACGTGGGCTTAAAAACCATGGAGATAAAAAAACATGGGATAAAAAAACATGGGGATAAAAGAATCAGTTGAATCCCTGAGAGCCAGAAAAGCCCTGCCAGGGCTCAGGGCTCATTGCTGGCTGGGGCTGTGTACAAGTCATGAATGGGACAGGACTGCTGGGAACATGCCTGGAGCTGTTTTATTTTCCAGCATCAGTCTCATTCCATGGCTATGACAGTGGAAGACCCCAGCAGCTCACATTCCAGGCAGCAGACAAAGAACACTGTAGTTGTAAAAAGTTTTGTGACCAATCACACAAAGCAAAAGCACATTGACAGTAGTTCTATCCAACCACTATAAGCAACAATCCTGTTGGTTAAAACAATGCTTGCTTATTTCAAATACACAACCTGCTTGTAAGCCTCAAAACACAATGCACAGAGCTCCATTATTAAGCTTAGAACTCCCTAAGATCTCTCTAGATAGGCTTTTCTGTACCTTAGGGAGTTATTCCACAGAAGCATTAACATACAAACCATTGTTCTATTTGTCTTTACTTTTCTACTTCTTATATAATTTTTCTGCTGACCAATCTCTTGGCTCTTGCTTAGCTCCGATCACAGTTCTGCTGTCTCTGAGGCCTTTTGCAGCTTTCCCAACCCCTCAGATGTTAAGGATTCCCCCAAGGGCTCACCCCTTGAGGTGGTTGTAGACCCTGAGCACGGTCTCGTGCTCCTTGCGCGGGTCCTGGATGTGCACGCGGCAGGTGAAGCGCAGCTGATGCTCAGCCAGCCCCAGCTCCTTCAGGGCCTGCTCAGGGGAAACCAGCCTGAAACTCTGGGGGAAAAAGAGATTAAAGGGAGAAAATTAATCCTCAGAGCTTGGGGGAGTTTTGGTGCTGCCAAGCAGGGAAGGGCATTCCCTTTCTGGGCTGGGATATTGCGGAGTGTTTGTTGCTCAAAGGGAGAGCTGAGAGTGGGACAAAACACCCAATAATTATAAATAAATAAAAAAAAACACTCAATAATTATAAATAAATAAATATTTAACAGCATCCAGCTGGTCTCTGGAAGGTGGTTGAAGCTCTAGCAGGGGAGCAATGTTTGAAAAGAAAGATGACATTGCAGATGAACTTCCTTTGTTGGGAGGAAGTGAAAGCGCTGGCGGTAATTTGTGTTCTTTGTGCGTCTGAAACAGGACAGCACTTCCAGAGAGCACAAAAACACCTCAGAGGGCATAAAAAACACCCTGAGAGGGCACAAAACAGCCTCAGAGGGCATAAAACAGCCTCAGAGGACACAAAACACAGAGGACATAAAGAAAGCCCCTCAAGAGAATACAAAAAACACCCTCAGAGGGCACAAAAAGCAGAGGACACAAAGCCACCCTGGGAGGCCCCAGGGCAGCTGAGGGCTCTGTACTCACGTTGTCCTTCATGAGCAGCGTGCCGTGCATCAGCCTGGGCCTCTTGGCATCAGGGGCAGCACCTAAACAGGCAATATTGACACCTAAAATCAATACTTAGTGATACAGAGCAACTCCCTCTCTTCCCAGAGCACTTCCTCATGTAAAAATGAGATTATTTTTTTCTAAAATTCAGTTTATAAACATATATTTATATTCTATATAGTATATATAATTTACATATTTATATAAATAAATATAAAAATATATTTATTAATATAGAGACAGTAATAATATAGTTATGGTATATATTTATTAATATAATTATATTAGGGTTGCTAATATATGATCATTAATATGTAATAATTATATTAATAATATAAGTATTATATATATATTTTTTTTTTAATTTACCTGTTCAGTTTATCTCCCAAATCAAGCACACACGTGTAGCAAACCAGGCAGGGTGTGCACATTGATTTGAAACACATAAATTATATTTTAAATATAAACCTACATCTAAATTTTAAATAAAAATTTACATCTAAATTCTATTTTAAATATAAATTTACAGCTTTATAACCCATTAGCAGGCAGGAAATGGGGGTGGGCAGCGTCACCTATGGCTGTTTCCCTCTTGAGCAGGCCCAGGGAGATGTCCACAGGGATGCAGGGGTTGGTGAGGATGGTGGTGGTCTCTCCGTTGGCTGGCATGAAGCAGCTGACATCTGCAAAGGGAACAGTAACAAAAGAAACTTCAGCTCCAAGGGGGCCACTGCAATTAATTAATGCCAATTAAGGTGTCACAGGCGTCACTTCCTTGAGGGGAGGTGTAAATGCCACCCGAAGGGCCAAAATGGATCCAAAATGTGTAAAATTTTAATTCCACTGCTTCCTCTCCACTGGAAAACAATCCTAATTTATGTCCAAGGGTATCACTGTAATTAACTGGGCTTCATTAGTGTTAATTAAGGTGTTACAGGCATCACTTCCTTGAAGGGAGGTGTAAATGTCACCCCAAAGGCCAAAATGTGTAAAATTTTAATTCTACTCCCTCCTCTAACATGGAAAACAATCCTAATTCACATCCAAGGGGTCCCTGCAATTAATTAATATTAAGGTGTCAGAGGCCTCACTTTTTTGAGGGGAACTGTAAGTGCCACCCCATCTACCTGTGCTGAGGGATCCAAAATGTGCAAAGTTTTAATTCAATACCCTTTTCTAACATGGAAAACAATGCTAATTCATG